GAACAGCAAGGTAGTACTAGGCTAGGGATATTTAGGAATTGCCTGATAGAATTGTCTGATTACATGATGCCTGCTTGCCTAGGGTTTTCCTTATATGATATTGACATCATTATTGTAGTTGTTTGTGTATGTATCATGGATGTACATAATTAGGATCTTATATCCTGAGAATGTTTGATTTGGCCTTATGTTTTGTTCTAGTTAACTTTAGTAGATATTTTAGCTTTTAATCATTCATGTTCCCTATGTTCTATATTTGACTTACCTAAACTATTCTATTAGTCGATTAGGTACACTGCCTATTACGTATTAGCTAGTCTAAATTTTTTTGGTTTGTAAATAAAAAAAAACTAGCATATAGATTACATATTTGTGTTTTTGATCTGGAATCATGAGGCCGTGATGAAAGTGAAACCCAATATTTTGGAATTTTTTAAGGAATTAACAGGGAACTTTGTTCCATATTTTCACGAAACACTTGTTTCAGTACCAATTTTTCGATACTCAAAATCATATTCTTTTATTATGGGTGATCATGATCAAATGTTTGAAACCCACGACATTTAAATCCCAACAAGATTCAGCTAAAATTTTGTTTTTCTGGATATGATTTTTGTATGAGTATCATTCGTTATCTTTGTCACATTAAAAGTTTTCCAAAGCATACTTGTCATTAACTACACTAGTCAAACAAGTAATTTCGGTTACAATTGATCACACTTATGTTTAGTGCTGAAATGTAACGAAATCCTTAACCGCCCAAAAGCCTTATAAAAGAAGGCCTTCGATACTTTTTTACAAGTATTTGATTGTAATTCGTGGGAAACAACACAAGCAGTTGATTATCTCTCTTGATAATTAACGAAGCAATCTTTGCCCAGGATATAACTACATTTATGTCGAAAATTTATTTTCGACATAACAAATCCAATTTTTTTTATTATTGCTTCGTATCTTATTTCATTAGCATACTGCACTCACGAAATCCTTGAGGTTTTGAGTACTACCAACTCAGTCTTAAGATTTCGAAAGTCTGGCATATGACTTCACTTTTAAACCCAAAAGAAAAAGAGCACAACTTCTATGCCGAAGGTTTTGGTTCTTATCTTCTTGGTACTCACGAACAGTCTGATGTGACCGTTTGGCAACATGGTGTGAGTTTCAAGGTTGCTTTATCTAACGTGGCGTTAAAAACGGCTAATGGTGCAAGTTTCAAGGAGAGATGTGGTTATTACTTTGATTAAATCGTTCGGTATTCAAATGAGCATACATATAAAAGGAAATTGGTTTATCATTAACACTTTACGTGTTCAAAATTCTCTCAGACGATTTAAGCCCTAATTTCTATCTATTATTCAAAGCTTTCAAAACCCTAATCAATGGCTACTACTCAAACTCATACCACCGAAGATGTTTCATCTTAACCAATCATGAAGCTTCAAAGCACTAATTACCAAGTTGAAGATGATGTTTCAGTATATCCAGATGAACTCCAGATGTTAATTATCACTCTCAAACATGCAAGCTTGTCAACTACGATGTTCAACTATTTCGATCTTCCTATGTCCTAGCTGTCAATGGCGAGTTCCACTACGACTTATAGTAAGGCCATGGATGTCGTTACCTTCAATATGGTAAATGACAAGAAGATTCCTCTCACCAAGAAGTTGTTCACTCAAATTCTTGAAATCCCTAATTCTCATCAATTCTACAAGGTTACGAATGCTCAGATCATCCATATGTTCAATGAGATGGGTCATCAACCACCTCTTACCCAGATCAATGACTTCAAGAAATCAAGCATGCCCTGTATCTGGAACTTTCTCTTTAGCATTTACCTTCGGTGCTTAACTGGTCGAAGTGTAGGGATTGACAAGGATCGTTTGGAAGTATATGCTATGGTGGCTGGAATATACTATGATATAAATGTTGATTATGCTTCGCAGATGTGGAAGGAGTTTCTTAAAAGCGTAGAAAACAAAAATGTGGTTCAAGGGATATCGTGTGCTCGGTATTGGAGTTTGATCATACGTTATGCTTATGAGAAGGAAGGAATTCAAGTTCCAGTCGATGAACCCAAAGCAGAATTCTTGAAGTATCATTTTCCGAAGTCAGTTGAAGATGATGTAGAGGTATTTCCAAACATTGCAAGAATTTCGGATGCTATGGTCAAAAATATAGATCCGTTGAATCCTATTTTGGTGGCGTATTTGCAGAAGATTAATCCTTCAGTGGAAACTGGAGTTCTTTTACCAACAAGTGATTAGGGGTCTTCCAAGAAATCCAAGAAGTCAAAGAAGGAAACTGAAGAAATTCCTTCAAAATAAAGTCCTAAGAAGATTCTGGCTAAATCACCAAAGAGGCATGTTGTTGATAAAGAAAAAGTTTCGAAGAAAGTGGTCAAGCAAATTGAAATGCCTACAACTGGTTCTCCGAAGGAATTAATACCTTCGAAATAAGGGGTGTTTAAAAGATTGAAGAAGTTATCACACAAGTCCAAAGTATCTTTTGATGATAAATCCCCTTTAGTTCGAAATGCGCAATTGAATAGGAGGGGAGTTATTGTTCGAGAAATCCCAGCACCAGTTTCTCCATCCTCAAAGAAAAGAAGAGTTGAAGATGTTGTGAAACATATAGCTAATAAGGGAAAGAAGAGAAAGTTGATCATTCACGAAGAGTCATCAGACAGTGAGATTGTTCAAGAAACACCTTTGGGGTCGAATTCACCAATCAAAACATCTACTCCTACAACAGTTGTAATTCCACTCGAAGTTGTGATAACTAAGACATTTACTGAGGAGGTTAAAACTTCAGGCATTCTTGTAAACGTATCTGATACGGGTGCAAATGTCAACATGGGTGAGGATATCATGAAGTCAACTATTTCTCAAGGTATAATAACTTCTTCTTCTTTTGAAACCACTTTTGTCCCTAACACTTCACTTCCACCATTTATTTCGAAAGTTTATACCACCACAACTTCACCCACTTTCGAAAACATCTTATAACAACCATTTACTACTTTGTTCACATCACAATCCACTTATCCACCAAAGCTTAATTCCGATGATGAAACTGGTGGAGGAGGTTTCGGAGGAATATTTGCAGACTTAGAATTTGATACTAAAGAAGAAAACATTCCAGATCATATACTAATGTCTGGAAAACAATTTAAGATACTTAATCGAAAGCTCAACTCTATTCTTCAATCCCAAGTTAACTCAGGGGAAAAACAATCAGTTTCGGGTATAGAGTTAGATGTAATGCTCAAGGCACATGAGTTACGTATTCAAACACAGATAGATATCATGGATAAAACAAGGGAAAATGTCACTCTAGCACAATAAACATTTGCTATTTGTCCAATTTGTTCATTAAAGTTTTTTTTTGGCACAGTAGACCGGCAAAGTCATGTTTTACCTTTTATTTTAGTCATTTTCTCCGATTTTAAATGGTTTCCCGGTTCACATTGTATATGTGTCAATTAATATTTGTTTTTTGGCTAATCCGATCATACGTGGATATGCCACGTCAAACATAAACGTCATTAAATTTCTCCCCCTCTAATCTATTAAACGTCTCTCTCTCTCTCTCTCTCTCTCTCTCTTTCTCTCTCTCTCTCTCTCTCAAGTTGTGAGCGAAGATGTGTTCTTCGTTTCTTGTTCATTTTCCTCCACACTTTCCCATTCCATCACCGATCCACATTCGGAGGATGCCAACGACAATGACTAATCCAAAAATTTTGAATCTGAACATGTGTTCTTCGTTTCTTGCCCTCATCGACATCCCTTTCTTCATCTTCTTCATCCCAAATCCAAATCTGAAACCTGATCCAATACCATACCTAGATGCATTCAATCAAGACTAGTACTTGTCGTCTTCGTGGTAATCGAATCTAGATTTTTTTAATCTGAATATGAACAATGCATTATCGTCATCAATTTCTTCCACTAAAATTTAGTTGTGAACATCCAACAGAATTTGAATGTGGCCACCAGCGATTTCGACTTTTTCATTACCGATTAACCCGTCTCTATCTTTCTTTTCCATTGATTCCAAAGACGGTGATCTTATGGGACAGATCCAAAAGATTGATTGGTTTTCTAGATTGTTTCAATACTCTCTTCGTCTTCATCTTCTTATGAAGACCAATAGCAATGAAAGAATCTTAGTCTATGGTATAAGGTAAGATAATATATACACCAGTAATGTTTGATTTCCTACCTTTCCCATCCTCTTTTGTCTTATACAAGAAAAAAAATCAAATACAAATATAGAACATAGATTTCTGAACATCTAAGAAGAAAACATCTGTGATGGTGGGTTTGATTTTTCTTCAACGAATAAATTATCAAGAATCAATTTTTGCTGCAATCAGAGATCGATTTATGGGTTTGTGGGACAGATAGAGTTCTAGTGTGAGTGAGATCGATTTTCTGGTGGAGTGAAAAAGCAAAATCTATTGTAGCGAGAGATGGATTTATGGGAGGCAGCAGAGGATGAATTTTAGGGAAGAAATTTTGGGTGTTGATGGAGAGTGCTTGGGTAAAACATGACGTGGCTACCAATAATAAAGACTGTAGATTTAGGGTTAATTGCATTTATCTTAATTTTAAAAATCAAAAATAAATTATTATTTGTGTGGATTAAATGATGTGGCTACCAAATAATAAAGATAAATTAATTATTAAATGCCACATCAGTTTTGTGACCTGGTAACCAGTTAATTTTAACCAAAATGACTTAATTGATAGGTAAAACATGACTTTACTGGTCTAATATGCCAAAAAAAACCTTTAATGACCAAATTAGACAAACGGCAAAAGTTTATTGTGCTATAGTGATATTATCCCATAAAACAATGAGCTCAGAGTCAAGGTTCAAGTTGACTCATTCAATGGTGAAATCAAAGAGCTTAGGATGGTAGCAAAAGAACGCCATGTTCTATTTGTTAAGATGTCAAGACTGTGTGATAGGATGTCAATCGCAAGCTTGAGGAAATGAAGGTTGACATTTTGAAAGAAATCCAAGAGTTGAGTGCTAATTACTCTTCTCTTCATTCGAAAATTGATACCATTGTTGGGGTTGTTATGAAAGTTGTGGAATACTATCAGTCATTAATTTCTAAGGATAAAGCAAAGGCGAGTGAAGATGTTCTGAATTTCGAAAAGATAGGAGTGTTACTTGGAGAATTGAGGGAAATTGTGTCAAAGCCTACTACAACTTCTGATTTAACTCCCGAGTTTTTAACTCAGAAATTCAATTCCCTTGAAGTAGAAATAATGAAAGTAGTCGCACCTCTATCAAAATTTGAAAATCTGTTACCAACTAGTGCCCCACCTGTTGTCACAGGGGTGCAAGGGGGAGAAAAGGAGTTAGTTTGTAAGGAAACAAAAGTAAGAAAAGGAGGAGAGGAGAAAGCAAAAATAGTTGGCAAGGTGATTTTAACTCAAATCCTAATTCCCATTGTTTCGAAAGTTACTACAGTGATGGCAATGAAAACAATGACAAGACCTATTTACAAGGGGATTGTTATTGGTTCGGACGTTGTTGGAGTGAGGTCCAACTCTTCGAAACCAAAAACAACTGAAGCTGATAGAGGAAATGGAAAGGTGATTGTAGTTGAAAATTTGAAAGATGAGAAGAAGGCAGAAATTAAAGCAGGAATGGAAAAGCAAAGACATATACAAAGTATTCTGAGGCTTCGCAAAAATGATCCACCAACAATGGATAAAGGTGATCCAAAGAAACTTGAAGGCTATGAAAATATCAAAGCCAGAGTGTCATACAACCACATGTATGCATTCGAAAAGAAGCCAAGAAGAAGCTATTCTATCGAAACTAATGATATGAATCACCTTGATTTTCCGATAAATGAAATGATGTTCATCATGGCACAATACAAAATGATTGAGAAGTTTTAGAATGAAGATGATTTTCTCCATATGAAGTTAAGATTTCATGTTGTGGTTGGAAAATATTAGGAGGAGGTATGGTCCCTTATCAAGATAGTTCGAGTGATAAGTGTGACAAAGGATGTTATGTTCAAGAACATGATCCAAAATTTTCGGTATCATGTGGTAAGGGCGAACAATGTGGCATGTGATTTTTCTATATGATTTCCCATTGATGAACTTGAATGATCTTATTCAAGTTGCATTAATTCTTAAGGATATGGATGCTTCGAAACTTCAAGGAACAAGTAAGGAAATTTTTAGACTTGGACTTGGTTACATCAAAATTTTCATAGAGAATTACTATGAGTGGCTAGCCTTGATTGATATAGAGCTATCTACTACATTAGGAAATGAATTAAAAGTGGATATGGAAGTTATTCAGTTCTTAACCAATTAAGTCAAAATGAAACTATCAATTTTGCAATCATAATCTTATTTGTTGGTTTAAACTTTATAATAGGGCACCAAAACTTCTATTGGGAGCAAAAGAATATTTAACAGAAATTGACATGTGGTCATTAGGTTGTAGCAAGGTTGAGCTATTATCTGAGCAACCAGTATTCAATGGGGAAAATTTTTGATCAAATTGACAAGGTAAGTTGACTATATGATATTATATAGCTTGTGGGTTCGAGTCCCACAGATGGTGCCAAATGTTGCGATATGAGCTTGGGTCACCGGGTCTTGAGGTCTCGAATCTAGATCGGAGATCTGGAAATGGTAGCGTTAGTGAGTTACCTATGATATACCTAGCTGCCATCACAACAAAGTCGTTAGAGTTTCCCCAGGGACTATGCCCCAAGAGCAAGCTCCTATGATGAAGTCATATTGGTTGGTAGATATGAGATGGTTCCTCCTATCCGGAGGGAACCATCTTAGTGTGTTGGGTGTGTGTTTGGCCATGGAGCTTGATCTTCCAAGAAGGGGGAAGTCTAAGGGTGAAAGGGTCCTTAGAATCTTATTCAAAACTCTAGGTTAGAGAAGATGCCTCCTTAAGGAAGAGTACAAATTCTATTTATAGGGAACAATTAGGCCAGGCCTTAGTCCAACCCAAATCATGCCCAGCTAGCAAGGAGTTGGGCAAGGCCGTCCACGGGTGCTAAGGACCAGAGTCTCAGCTCAAGGCCATGAGGGAAAGGGCCCGGGTCTAGCACTAGGTTGGTTAGCAACCGTTGTCCAAGTCGTCCTAAAGATAGCAACTCTGATATCTTTAACGTATTTGTAGAGGGATATGTTAATAGTTACTATTTTAGTCTTGAATCTTAATAGTCTTTGGTGACTAATCATTGCATTGTAGATATTCAAAATACTTGGCACGCCAAATGAAACAATTTGGCTTGATTTTCTAAACTTCCAGAGGTGAAGGTGAGCTTTTTCAAGCATCAACAAGTGTTTAATTTCTTGAATTAAGTAGTTAATGTAAAATTAAATTTTCATATTTTCTTATGTTTGCGATTTTTTCCTAGATGTCCAGCTTTAGTGATTTTCTGGTATCCCTTTGTAGCTTCAACTGGTGATGTGACCAATTTAGTTATACCAAAACTACCCTTGGTTTTATTTACCTTTTTTTTAATTTTCTCATGTATAATTTTTTGAGGAGAAAATTCCTAGTAACATCTTTCACTCGATCACCTAATATGTCTGATGTTGAATTTGATTTGCTGAATAAACTTCTAACTTATGAACCTGACAATGTATTTATTATATTCAATTGTAGTTAAAAAAATTATATAGTTATAAAGTTTTATTGCTCTATATCCTATCACAAATGAATTTGAAGAATTTTTTGAAATAAATTTGGGGAGCTGTGCAGCGGATAACAGCTGAAGCAGCTCTCAACCATGAATGGTTTGGGGAAGTTCCTCTCCTAAAATCTAAAGATTTTATGCCCACTGTTCCAGCTCAACATGCATAGGATGGGTAGGTATATCTTAACTCTATATTTTCACAACTTTTAATTTATAGTTGAAACTAGGGAGTTTAGAGGACTTGGAATGTGAATTCCTAAAAAAATTATATTTGGTTGACAAAATCCTAGGAATTGGAATTCTTTAGATTTTGTGGTTGAATGAATTGTCATTCATCGGCTAATAGCGAAGATTTAGATTCCATTCCTTCATTTTTATTTAAAAGAAAAAAAATGCCCTCTCGCGTCTTTATTTCCATTATTTCCAAAAACATTCAACCAACCTAAGGGTGTGTTTGGTTCGTGAGGGAATTATAATTCAAGATTCGATTCCACAATGTGTTTGAATGCTCACAAAGACAACCATTTTCTAAAAAGTAAGCATATAAACATATAAGCAGTTTTTATTCATTCTATTTCAAATTATAAGAAATATATTATTTCATTTTCATTCCACAAGAAGTAATTTTTTTGGGTTACTTATTTCAGGCGTGTGCGGAGGGCAATGAACAGTCCTTGATACCTTAGAGGAGCAGCATCGGAAGGAGCTTCAACAAGCTAAATTTGGTATAGGTTGTTTTTTTGGCTAAGGGTAAATTAGACAATTTAAAAGTGAGAGAGCCCATGAAACCCAATGGAAACAAACAGAAAAATTGGTTGTTACGATATGATTAGCCATGCTATGTTGCTTTGTATACCAGGCATACCCTTATACATAGTATAGCAGGCTAAGTTCTTATGTGTGCAAGTTTGACCTTTTAGTGGATGCTTTGGTTGTGTTTTGTATGTAACATATTGTAAGTTATAGTTAACAATTTAAAATTTTGGATTTAAATAATTGAAACCTCCCAAGAATCAAGGGTAAATTTTTCATTTTTACTATAAGAAAAACACCATTTTCACATTATCCAAACATTTAAAAATATTTCAATTAAGAAAATTATCAGAGTTAATTCCCAAAGATCACACATTGCGGAAAACATGAGTGTATGTGATGCGGTCTAGCCAGACCTTTTCCTTTCGAATCGGAAGTACTTGAAACCATAAATCACAATTATAAGCAAAAAGCTTAGTGAGTTCACCAAATACCACATACCACACATACCAATCGAACCATAAATAACATTCATATCAATGAGCCATACTTAGCATACATATACCATAATCAGTAAAGGTACTATGTGCCATCCATAGTCTTGCCATTATGCCACGAGGCGCCTCGTAGTCTTCCTTGTCAAGACGGGAGCCAGAACCCTGGGTTTTACAAATAAGTGCCAGGAGCCACCTATAAGTCTTCAATGCAAGCATCACAAATACAACTAGCATACAGTCTACAATTACATAACTAACATTTGCCAGAGTTCAGACTCTGATCTTTCATACAAATTTCCAGGAGCCACCTCCTTGGCTTTCATACAAAACATTAAGTGTCACCCCCATGTCTTCCTATCATACATAAACCAAATGGGCCGGCATTGGTGCCTTAGACCCATAGAACAGTGAGGAGACTCACCTTGAATGCAGAAGCTTACTTAAAGAAATCCCTAGCTACTACCCTGTAGGCTTCCTAAGCTATCAATACCTACAACACACCCAATTATAAATCGGGACCCAAGTTATACTCCATAATCCTTACTTGGGGTAAAATAACCATTTTACCCCTGACCAATCATGAACCAAAACTCAAGCCCAAATCCAAAGATCCACAAAGGCCCACTAATGGCCTAATTTTTCAAATTGGGCCCAACCCCATATGGGTCTTATCCTAAGCCCATAATTTTCTTGATTACAAAACTGATTACCTCAAACACCCTTTAGAATAACTTGGTCAAAGGCTAAGGTCAAAAGTCAAAGTCAACAGCCTGAGTTGACCCAACTTGCCAAGTTTATCCTTCAACTCATCGAGTTTATCTAACTATCCATGAAGTCGGGAAAAGTCAAGCCAAATCTTTGAGTTTATCCATAACCTTGCCGAGTTCGCCAGAAACCCACATCTTAATACATTAAGTAAACATTATCGACTCCAAGGACTCCACAACTCAGATCTCAACAAATATGATATCAAGAAGGGTAAAGTATCCAACTTTACCCCTAGGAACCACTTAAAGGGGTCCAAACCCAAACCCTAGACTTAAAAGAGTGAGAGCTTAATCATTAAGCACTTAATCATCAAGGACAACACCCCAAAATGCATATCTGACCCCATAAAGCTAGATGGTCATGTAAAGTTTCCAACTTTACGCTGGAGTATGACTAAGGGAAGCTCAAAAGCTCAAAAATGGCTAAATGAGAGACTTAATGAATGCATTGTTGGATTAGTGTCTAGGTCTGTAACTATATTTAGTATGTACTTGACCCGAAGTCCATAACTATACTTAGTATGTACTTGACTTAATGAATGCATTGTTGGATTAGTGTCTAAGTTTGTAACTATATTTTGTATGTACTTAACCACGTTATGCATGGTCCTTTTGGGTTGCCTTCACCAAAGCAACTTGACAAGGTAATTTGAGGAAAGAGAGAGGATATTATTGTTTATTAATATATTATAAGATTAATATATTAAAATATAAATCATATTTATTTAATTAGCATTGGTCATAAATTAATTAGGAATTAATTTGGTGACTAAAAGAGATTAATTAAATAAAGGGCTATAAACTGTCAAATGTATGATAGTTGAGTTTTGGGCTAAGTAAACCTAATGGACTAAGGGGGAATGAAATTATGAAGGATCATCAAATTTTCGTCTACGGGCCTTATTCCAGAAGGTTCCTTGGGCTGCTTGGTGGTTAAGTTATCCATTACGGTTTAGACTGAAACCCTAGCAGCTATGACTATAAATATGACCCCAAGGCTTCAATTTTCGGCCACTTGCTTCCTAGGGAAATCCAGGGCCAAAAATTAGCATCCTCCCTCCTCTCTCAAAGTTGCCTTCTTGCTTGAGGTGTTTGTGATCCATTAGAGGAGTTACAATTGTGACTCTAAGCTTAAGAGAAGGAGAGAAGAAGATCTAAGCCAATTTTTTGAAGAGGTAAACATCTAGATTTGATGTATTAAGTTAATTTTTGAATCATGTATGTTATATTAGGGTTTGCAAGTCTTAAATTCAATGCATGTACAACAGAGAAACCTAGATCCAAGCATTAGGGTTTATATGAGCACATAGGATTGTTCTTATGCATAAAACCCATCAGTGGTATCAGAGCCTTGATTGGTTTCTGTTGTATGTGATGCTTTAACTGTTTGATTGCTGAAAAATCATTTTTTTGTGCTAACTGTTTGATGAACTCGCCGAGTTAGATGAACTCGACGAATTCCAATGTGGACTCGATGAGTTTAGCTATCAGACAGAGGATATTTCGGGATTTTGTTGCTGTTTTGTCATGGGATTAATGCCTAAATCGTTTTTTGAAGATAAAATCTGAATTTTATTATAGTTAAATGATTACCCCTGCCAAAACAATAGTCAATTTCAAATCTTTTGAATAATAGTTTGTTTATATGATAAATATGGATTATTTATATTATTTGGTAATTATCTTGTAACTAAAATTGGATTAAGTCAAATATAGATAATTATGAAATTAATTGTTTAATTTAAATTATTTGTTATTTGATCCCTTTGTTTTGAAAAGTTCAAAACTTGTCCTCAAGCTTTGAAATTTAAATTTTATGATTAAAAGTTTAACTTTGAGTAATTTAAATTTCAAACCCTTAGAGTTTTACAAGTCACGAAGTCGATCTATAAGGTGGGTATAAGGTTGTTGCCTATAAAATGGCGCTAAATGGGTGTACACTCACACCCACCGCTTGCTTGATTGGTGGAGGGTCGTTAGCCGAACGGATAGGATAGGGCACTTAATTCCTCATTATAAGTAAAATGAATATTGCAAAGTAACTAACATGTTT